AACTCTTTCCCAATCTTTGAAATCATTGCGGACAGTGAATGTTGGTTGCATTTCTGCAGAAAGGTCCTTGGGGACACAGAAAAAAAGCTTCTTCATGCAAACTAATTGTGATAATTTCCAGAAGTATGATGTGTGTAAGCCATCCCAGGAGTTCATCCAGGTCAAGATGAACTGGCTGGAGAATTCTGGGAGCTGAAGTCCACAAAGTTGCCAAGGTTGGAGACCCCAGATCTACAGTATTCTACCTTCCCCAGCTAACATCCTCTGTTAGACTATAATTCTCATCATTTGTCCAGCCACCATGGACTAATTTAGGAATGAAGGCAGCTGCCATCAGATATATCCGGATGGTAGCAGAATGAAGCAGTCTCATCCATATTCAACCCAGAAAATTTTGCAGCCTCGCTTGAAGAAGCCAAGGATTGCTTTGCCTGTGAGCTTTGCCCTTTCCCACTTAAGCAGGCATAGCCTCTCCAATCAAGTAGCCTTAGTCTACTCTTATGGCCATTCAAGATTCTTTTGCTGCCTGTCTTCAATCATTTTTGTTTGTCTCACAAAATTGGACAGAGTGAAGGTTTCCATGCCTCCTCTATTAAACAAGAACTGAGCCTTACAAAACCAACCAGAAGACGTTTTTTGTTGGATGCTATTCTGGTAAAGTAGTATTATTCTTAACATGATTAATTTCCAGGTATCTAGTTTAGCATAGCTGAGAGACAAATTATGTTTACTGAAAGTGCTATGCCACAATCCAGCAAAACTTCATTAAAACAAAATACAATACCTTGGAATTACAGTAAGGACTTTCTGGGAACAAACTCTAAATTTCCTTATCAAACTAAGTCAAGATCAGATGGAATGAATTATGTAGCAATCTGTCAGGCACGAACAATCAGACCCACACATGTACGGTATAAATTCGCTGCTTCATTGCTCAATGCCTATTTCAGAGCAATCTTCCCAGACTGGCAGTTGCCCCCGAGAAAGGCTAGATAAGGTTCAACAGCATCCAAGGGGGTAGGATTTGCTTTCTTTTCTCTATTTAATGATTCCAGACTGATTCCCCACTTGACCCCTCCTCCTGACTGGGACAGTCTCTCTTCAACACAATCATGGTCCATCAAGCCCAGCTGTTCACCAAGAATGAAACTTTGGGCTATGTTCCTCACCACTACAGCTTTTTCCCAGGCTGGTATCCTTCTACTGCACTAGTGGAAAAGTCCCATAATTTCAAGTCACTTTAGCTAAGGGGCAACAATTGTAAAAGCTACAGGTCAGGATACCCAGAGCATGCCAGCCTGGAGAAAGCTGAAATAAAGACTATGCAGCTGAGAGAACTACCCAAAAGAAGAATGTTTCCAAGCCTCCCCACCATTCATCCCTGAAGCTGCCTTGTTGCCCCAACTCGTGAGCAAACAAGCAGACATGCGTAACCAGAAAGGAGCTGGCCTGCACTACTAACCGGGTTACTGACATTGCTAGCAGAAATCAAGGGCAGATTGCAGGCTTCGGCACGCCGTTTCCCCAGAGCCAGCTGTGTGAGAAAGGCAAAGAGGCAAGGAAGCTTGAGCTGCTTAGCCATTTCCACTGGCCCATCCTGGTCAAAACAGCCCATCGCCAGCTGCAAGATCTCTACAGGAACATGGTTGAAGGCTACAGGCACGCTTAATCACAGAGGACCAGCTCCCACCATAAAAGCAAACCCACCGGAAGTGTGGGGGCTGCTTAGCTCTGAATGCAAAGAAGGTTAAAACAGAACTTCCTGCCTGCACCTCTTCTGTACTCCGGGTTGTGGTATGTCGACTTCAAACACTTCAACTCTCACATGTCTCAGTTTTAGTTTTTGCTTAAGACCAAGCTTCTACCTACAACTTCAGCGATTTTGCTCCCTGAAAGGGTTAATTTCCTCTCTAATAACAGCAAGATTTAGTCATTTATTTCAGGGTTAAGCAATGGGATAAACTTTGGCAGTGGTTTCCTCCTCTCTGAGCTTGCCATTTAGCTCTTGAACATTTCGTTACCAGGCTAGGTGTCATCATCAGTGGGACTTTGGTCGAAGTGTCTTGTTCTATTCCTCTTTACCTTATATATATGTCTTGTGTGGTCAGTTGGTCACGTGCCTGGCCATTCATTTGATGCTATATTTAAATTCTGAGAAGTTGTTGATTGGTCATTTGAATGGCCTGATGTGTTTGTATGCTAGATCTAAGTCAATATGCTTCTTAATTGAGATGCCAAATGGGATGAACTGTTACGGTGGAATGGAAGTCAAATTGCCTATTCTAGCTCCATTTTTATTGAGTTTCTTTTCTTTTGAATACCAAAGCATGGAAAATTGACATGCAGCAAAGCAACATGACAGGCAACCGCTGGATTGCCCACGTCCACTAGCATCCTGTATGCACTTACTTGACTGCATGAGATTGTTCCAATGACACTTGGCGTTTTTATTTCTACAGATGTTTCTGGGGCCATGGGGGAAGGCAATTTTTAGTTGACACAATTTTTTCCTTTTTTAAAAAAAGCATGTAAGTGGTACTGATAACTCTCTGAGGGCCCCAATTGTTTTTTCTCAAGAATGCTTCTTTCCTTCCCCCATGGCCCTAGAAACATCTGTAGAAATAAAAATAAGGGAACCATAACAATTAGGGAACCATAGCGGCATAGACAATATGGAGAGAGCCCTTTTATGGGCAGAGCATTTAGCTTCTTGGGAACTCCAGTTTCCCCTTTGCTCTTTTAAAAAACATCTTTTTCTATTTGTCGATTGAGAAACTAAGCTTAAAATAATGTGGGCGAGACCTGGAGTTCTTCCAGAACTAAGGTAAGTTGTCCCTGAATGCTTCTGTGTGTCTTTTCAACCTTAATCCTGATTTTTGAAGGAAAAATGGAAGAAGCAGGGGGTGAGCAGAGGATGGATACAGGAGGAAGAAGTTCATATGGAGAGTCTCCCCATAAAATTCTGTGCTGTCCTTGATGCTCTCTGAGCTTGATGGCCATCAGATTCACAACTCAGAAAGCACCAAGTTCAACCCTGAAGTACAAATATTCTCTTCTATTGGTACCATAACATTCTGTAGTAGGGTCAATGGATGACAAAAGCACTCGCCAAAACATCTCAGAAACCAGAAATACAACATTACATCTTGGGACATCTAGATCAGTATATAGGAAATATGGCAGGGGAATGGAGGCAAAGAACAACTCTTCAACTAGAACAACTAGAACAATTTCATGTTTCAGCTTTCAGGGTTCTTCCACTGTGCCTATTTTTGGACTCTTGGAGAGCCTGGTCTACAATTCTGTTGTTTGAATGCCAAGTTGGGTTGTACGAGGATATCCATCATGCATGGTTTATCTGTGGATGAGAGGGCTGATCTGGACATATATAACTGAGACCTATTTGAAAACAGAGTGAAGGATTCAACTCTCATAGATGTACCATTGTGGATTTCAAGAATGGCATCAGAACACTGCAGGACACTATGCACCCTTCGTGGATATGAATGGCCCTGACTTTGACAGCCTTTAGGAGAGATAGACTTTGACTTACAATCATTCATTTGGTGACCATTCGAAGTTATACTGAAAGTTGCATTGAAAGAGCAACTTACAACTGTTCCTTGCATTTATGACTGTCACAGCATCCCCATGATCATGTGATCAAAATTTGGGTGCTTGGCCACTGGCATATATTTATGACAGCTGCAGTACCCTGGAGTCCTGCGATCACCATTTGTGACCTTTTCAGCTGGTTTCCAACAAGCAAAGTCAACGGGGGAAGCCAGATTCGCTTAACAATCACCATAGTTCATTTAGCAACTGCAGTCATTTGATTAACAACCATGGCAAAAATATCATAAAATTGGGTGAGATTCACTTACCAATTGCCCTGCTTAGCAATGGAACTTCTAATAGCACTTGTGATCCTAACTCAAAAGATTACCTGTAAACCAGTGAAGACTTTGTTCTTCTCCCAGGTTGTTGGGTGAGCCATCCCTGGGGTTCTGGTTCTATGTTTCTGAGTTGCTCCAAACACATTACATTATTTTTACATTGTCTTTCAAATTGTCTTTATTGTAGGGTTATTTTTAATTGACTGTTAACCTGTCAGAATCATATGATAGGTGGGTGGCCATATAAAGCGAGTTCAAGACCCACCTTAGCCATGAAAGCCAGCTGGGTGATCTTGGGCCAGTCATTCCCTCTCAACCCAGTCCACCTCACAGAGTTGCTGTTGTGGGTAGAATAGAAGGAGGAAGATGTGTTGGATATGTTCACCCCCTTGGATTATGTGTAAAAATAACAAAAGTGGGATATAAATAAACAAATAAAAGCTAACTAACTAAAGAAATGCAATTCAGATCAACAACTGTGCTTTAATTACTTTATTAAACACTCAGAATATGCAGAGATGCAAGAGACAATACATTTGAAAGACACCAGCTTATGGAAAGGCTGTGTGTTTATTTTTGTTTTGATAGTTAATTTATACTATTTGAAATGGGAACCACAATTTTAAGGGACATCCAACACCAAGGCCCTTAAGATTATTTATTTTAAAGGGCCCATGCTAAGATTTCCCAACAGCTAAAATCACAAGAAATTTAGCATAGGTCCTACAGTTGCGATCTTCTTTCATGAAATAGTAACCCCATTTTTTTTAGCAATGTGCATCAGAATAGCAGATTAGCTTCGTCTCCCCAGGCTGATTGGTCCTGAAAATTAGTATCAGTCTCCTCTGCTTTTGGGATGAAACAAGAACTTAAAATCTTCCCTACACCCTTTTCTTTTTGCACAAATGCACCAGTCTTCTGCATTTCCAAACATGGGCTCAAACAAAGCATCAAGAGAGCCTATAACCTCAGAAGGAAAGAATGCAAGAAGTCCTATATTAATTCAGCTCCGGTCCAGTGCATCTGCCCTGTCTGAAAAAGTGGGATGCAAAACCAACAACCTTTCCTAAGAAGTGGGTGAGAACATAACTGACTGAGTCTTACCTTCTCTGTGGTTTTCATGTCTCTCTCAATCCAAGTGGGCTCCCGCTTTGCCTGCAGAATAAACAGGATTAAGCATCTGAGCAAGAACAAGAACAAATAGCCAAATAACTTTTTCCAAAGATGTTAAGCTGAGCTCTATTCCCAAATAAGAGGAATAAGACATAGGTGAATTCCTGTGGTTTTCAGATCTGGCTGTGTGGTGCCGAGTGCAGGATCTGTTACATATTAAGGTTCCATTTAAAAAAATATATTAAATTTCTAAATCAAACATTAAAACATAAACTAATTATAAAGGGAAAGGGAATAATGGGATAAGTTAAAAAGTGACAAAAATTCATTAATCAACTATAACAACAGGGACTTCTAATTTTTTTTAATACAGAAACAATACTACAACCACTTTACCAATACTTAAAATATCATAAGATACCAATGTTCAACATTCCAAAGTACCAATATTCATAATGCATTCTTGTCTTAATTTTAATTGAATATATATTGTCAAATATGGACAGCCATATAATTTTAAATGCACAATATTTCTCTGGTCACATCAAATCTAATCCTCAAAATCAAAAGCCATAAGTTGACTTTTCCCCTTGTCTTGCAAGAAATCTAACAGCAGCCACCAAGTAGTCCAAATACAGGTGGTCCCTGACTTACATTCACAACTGAGCCCAAAATTTCTGTTGCTAAGTGAAACAATTGTTAAATAAAATTAGCCCCATTTTACAAGTTTTTTGCCACAGTTGTTAAGTGAATCATTGCAGTTGTTAAATTAGTAACATGGCTGTTAAGTGAATCTGGCTCCCCTGTTGACTTTGCTTGTCAAAAGGTTTGCAAAAGGTGATCACTTGATCCTGGGACACCGCAACAGCCATAAATATGAACCAGTTGCCAAACGTCTAGATTTTGATCATGTGACCTGGGGGATGCTGCAATTGTCGTAAGTGTGAAAAACATCATAAGTCATTTCTTTCAGTGCTATTGTAACTTTGAACAGTCACTGAACAAATGGTTGCAAGTTGAGGACTACCTGCATTGTCTCCAATCAAGGCAGTCAAATTCACCATCTTGGCTAGCAGCATCAGTTTCAAACTCCATTCTTTTGTTGGGGTTCTATAGTCCTCTCTCCATCTCTGTGCATATAGAAAACTTGCATCTTAACCTTCCATTCTGAACATGACATTTCTGGTTTGTATCGATGCAGGCACAAAAAGGAAGGGGCCCTTCAATGGTTTCTTCCTTGCTAGAAATGCAGCTTGAATTTTACAACCAGAAGCTACTAAGTCAAATAGAGTCAGGGTAACCACAGATTAAAAAATCAAGACGGCAATCACAACTTTGCAGCTGAAAATCTGCTTGATTATTAAATAGGAGGCAGAACTTTTGATTGCACTATTGCAGTTGCCATCTTGACAATTTTGACTGGTCAGAATTCTGAAGCTACAGTGTTGGGAATAGGGGCTCAACTAAATACAGTTTTCTTGTCTGGCTATAGGTCCTATGATGCCACTTCACTATTTGTGAAGCCACAAAAGTTTGCCTTTGTTTCGAGAAACCCAGCACACAAAAATGGAAGTAAATATCCTCTCCCCCACCCACGACCAATATTAGACAAGTTATTTACCATCCTTATTTGCCAATTCACATATTTGCAGTTTACAGCACAGAGAACAGAAAATTCAGATTTGTTTGCTTGAAGCAACTAATGTTTTCACAAGCAAAAAATATTTCTATGCTGTCTTCTAACATTGGGGAGGCTTAAGGCATATTTTTGCCAAATTCTTCAGGTTGCAAAATTGTTGTTCCAGTCTATAGTATCATTGTTATTATTACCAAAACTGAAAGTCATACCAAAAGGACTCCACATATATATGGGTAGAATGCTGAGTATGTAAACACATTGTGAAAAGTATCCACATTTCTTTAGAGTCTGACATTGGAATACGCATAACCAATTCATGCATAAGAGTTTCCTTTTGCAAATGGAAGTATTCTCCTCTCTCATCCCCTACCTCAACAATTTGGAGAGAAACCAAATCTGGGAACACAAGTGGAAAGTACGGCAGCAGAAATTTATTCTAATAATTGTTAATTTATGTTTCAATAGAAGAGAAGATTAGCAAAGCACATTATTCTGACAAGCAGTCAAAAGACACTATGAAAACTCCTTAATCTCAAAACACATGGACAGGCTAAACCATGGGAAAATGTGAGCATCCTACGCCAAGCTAAAACAAAAAATGCTAGGGAATTCCTGGAAGCCTGGCATATAGACAAATCAGCCATCAAAAGAGATAATAAGAAATAAATCACATTTACCTACCACTAAAAAAAAACAATTAAAAAAAGATAAGAAGGGAACAAAAAGACCAGAACACATTTTATCCAGCAACCAACACTCAGATAAGCAGGGATTAACACCAGACAAATAATTAAGCAGAAAACTGAAGTAGTCAAGGGACTATCCCCCATCAAAATTGGCAGGGGAAACTACTATATATAAACAGGGAGTAAACTCCAACTCAGTAACACTGATATTATCTAGTTGGATAATGAAATATCTGCAAGCAAACAACCAAGCACAGAGAGCACCGTAACTAATGTTCAGCTCTATTAATGCAGAAAGCTAATTTTTCTAATGAAGCAGAGGTAGAATCAATTCCACTGCCCCCATCTAGTCAAATTTGCCATTATTCTATTTTTAAGTTTCTGAAGAATCTATTTAATTGTCTAGATATCTATGAAAAACTTCCCCAAACGGAAAATACTAGCTGCTTTGTACTATTTTTGAGTGGGTGGGATGGCAAAGATGAGGTGATCAAGAATTGCACTTACTTTCAGCCATACTTTTAAGGTATTTATGAAATATTTTTCTAACCTGGGGATGTCCAGCTGGCCTAGGAATTATACAAGCTACGCTGTGACCACATCTGAACATACCAAGTTAAAAAAAAACAGTATTACGAGCATCAGGAAGAAGCAATATAGGAAAACTCTAAGGATGATCAATAAACTGGTACAGGCTTCTTATCCTTCCAGTTATACATAAAAATTCAGATCATCTTCACAAAACCCAAAAGATCCGAATTCTCATTCCACTGTTACAGTTTCAAATTCTAAGTATTCTAGTAAATAGATCTGCCTTATGGATTGTTTGTTTTAAGATTCCCAATCAAATATGTTTCAGAATTCCCAGCCAATATGGCTATAATTGTAAAAAAAAAAATGCTGAACAATGTATTCATTACAAATTTCTCTGTTCCTCTCTGTTTCTCTGTTCCTGCTGCTTACCCAGCAGTGTGTAAACTTGGATTGGAAAAAATGCCTTTATTATACTAACTTCTAACTGAAATTTAGGGTTGATTTAATGGATTGATAAACACATCATGTATTTGTTATTTTTTTTTTAGTATTTACATAACTGTTAATTATTTAACATAATGTTCCAGGGACAGGAACTTGTCACCTTTTAAGAGATGATGATTACATTCCCCAGCAGCTGCAACTGGAAGGGCCAATGAAGAGGCTCGCTTGGAAATGTAGCTGATGATCCCTTTGTAAATTTTCTGTTGCACTTTTCACCAATTAAATAACACCGGCAACATCTTTATTTTATGGCAAAGTGAGCAATTCCTTCAATGGGGCCTTGCTGCTCCCTCCTCATTAGTGTCAAACCTATTCACAGGCATCGGATGGTATCAGGGTGGTGAGACTGTAACATGTAGAGGTGATATTAAGCTAAGCCTTAGAACAAGTGTCAAACTCAAGGTCCTCGGGCTGGATTCATCCCACAAGCTGCATAGATCTGGGCCGTGGGGATGCCCTGAAAACAGCAAAGGGGTGTTGTAGCTGAAAACAGAGCTCACAAGAGCCACGTGCGGCTCTCCCAAGCTCTGTTTTCGCTGGCAGAGGGTTGCAGGAGGCCACTGCAGCCAAAAACAGAGCTTAGGACCCCCTTTTCTCTGGCAAAGCACTTGGGCCACCACAGGCACCCCCGACACGAGTGACATTGTGTGGCCACGCCCACCCTGGCCCCCAGAGGTGAAACACAACCCTGATGTGGCCCTCAATGAAATCCAGTTTGACACCTCTGCCTTAGAAGTATTTGGGAATTAACCAGCTTTATTTCTTACCTTGTAGGTTTACTAACCTTTTTCAAAGAAGATGAGAAAATGGATTGTTTGCTTTTCAGACATGTTTATTTTCAATTTAACAACAGCTGCACCATTTCCGGTCAATGGATTAGCTTTAATTAGAAAATGGCATGATGAAAAATTGGCCATGTTTATAGAAAATCCAACTCTGTTTATTAATATAGTTTTCACCTTTTGCAGCATTGAGTGGAGGCAGGGGCAAAAAAGCAAGGGTTTCATCACATAGTTTTGATATTAACTTTTTAATTTCTCTCCATCCTACGCAGATGACCTTGATGCTATGAACAGCCTTAATTAAGTATTAATTGAGGCTTCCAAGAGAAAGAGGTTGTATATCTATAGTAGTTATTCAAAAGGTGAGAGGAAATCCAGGCAGGTCTTGACTTACAACCATATGGAGTCTCGGAGGTGCAGTGGTTAGAGTGCAGTATTGCAAGCTACTCCCACTGCAATTTGGCAGATCAAATCCCACCAGGATCAAGGTTGACTCGGCCTTCCATCCTTCCGAGATGGGTAAAATGAGGACCCAAATTGTTGGGGGCAGTACACTGACTCTGTAAACCCCTTAGATATGTCTGTAAAGCACTATAAAGTGGTATATAAGTCTAAGTGCTAAGTGCTATTGCTATAATGGAGCTTGCCCATTATGGTTGTAAGTCAGGAAAGTCATAAAGCAGATCATTCACATGACTGACTCAATGTTACAAGCTTTTTTTAAAAACAGTTGATAAACTACCACTGTAGCTATTAAGCAAATTCCACAGTCGTTAAGCAAACCAAGTGTTCACTACAGGTTGCCTTTGACTTACAACCATTTGTAGTTACAAGGACACCAAGAAAAGCAACTTATGACTGGTCCTCGCATTTACAACTTATCAAAGCATCCCCACG